GTGCTATGTAAGGAAGATTTCCATATACGCTTTTTAAAGGTTTATCAATAGGCCCACAAAATCCGAGATCACTAATATACCAATTATTGTAATACTTATTGTATAATATATTTCCTGAATGCAGATCTCTATGAATAGCATCCTCTTGATGAAGAAAATAAATATTATTTATGATATCTCCACCAAACATAATTCTTTCTTTCCATGTAAATTGGTTATTATATTTTTGTAAATGGTTTCTTAAGTCTATATCTTCCAAATTTAGTACTAAAAAATAATCTTTTGTTAATGGATCCTGAGCAAGACCATAACATTGAACTAAACCTGTCAATTTATTGCTTAATGTTAAATGAGTTTGTGCCTAAAATAGAATTAATATATTAGTTTTTTTAGTAATAAAGTATAACGATAACAGAATTTTTTTAAAAATTGATACCTCTTCAAAACATCTACTCTTAGCACTTTCAAAATTCTCAAACCTTTTAAGTATTACATCATGTGTTCCAAATCTCGTTAATTTCTCTTTGTTTGAATCCCATTCGACATAGCATCCATCAATCCAATCTGCCGTATATATTTCAGAGAATCCACCTTTAGTTAAATAATTTATATTTTGTAGATTATTATGTGGTATCCATTCAATTACTCCACTTGGATCAATCGTCTCCATTTGACATTTCTTTATTAATTCATCGATTTTATTATTTCCGGACGTCCAATTTGAAAAATTAGCTTTTAAATAATTTTGAAGGCAAAGTTCACAATATGATATCGCAAAACATTCCTGTTGGCATTTTTCACAAATTCTTTTCTTTCCTTTATTATAAAGAACTTTATCTTGATCATAAGTATTTGTTAACAGACTCATTACCTCCGATTTTTCATCATCTGTAAGAGATATATCAGATATAATTGCTTGTTGTCTCAATTCGAACCATTTGTCTATGTCTATGTCATTGTCAGATATCAATATAGTCACTTTATCATATAGTTTGTTAATTAATTCTCTACGAATAGATGTCATAGTAGGAAAATAAAAAAATGTTAAACAAACGTAGTTCCGGTATAAACTTTTACTATTTAGTTACCAAGGTTTATTGAAGATCTGCTCTGCTTGAGGTTAAAGGAAGGTATGCGGAATTCTAAAATTAAGATACTATTTTTAATTTTAATTTTTGAAACAAGAGAAAAATAAATGGGAAATGGAAAATCAATTTTATGCAGGGACAAAGCTGTTGTGTTGCCGTTTAAAACGCACATTATTATTCGAAAACGCCAGTTGAAAACTTACATTTCTATATTTGTAGTTTCGAAATTATCTATAAACTAAATAAAATTATATTCATTTTAAATAATATGTATATGTATTTGCCTTGTTGTTCTACTTATTGTGAGATTATTTCAATAGATTTCAATAAGTATTTCATTCTAATAAATGGCATCGTAGGGTTTGATCGGCAAAATCGTAAAAAATATGGGCAACAAGCTAAATGACGAAATATTGAAGCTTTAAAATAATGACGAAGTCAAAACAATGGTAAAAATTAATTCGTTTTATTATAGAATATCTATATGAAAACTTGATGAAGGATTTTATTTTTATGTATAGTTTAACTAAATTTATTTTTAAAAAAACGTGTCATGTGACAACTCACAACTGAGAAACATAAAACATTTGATTAATTTGTTTTTAACATCTTTAGCTTTTATTTTCTAATAAATAAAGATTGTAATACAAATTTTACTTAATACTGTTTTTAAAGTTTTATACTGTTTTTAAAAAAAATTGTAAATATTAATACCGATTTTGCCGATTTTGATTTTCAAAACTGGAATCTAAAATCGTTTTTAGCAGAAGATTCGATTTTGATTTTTGAACCGATTCCAATCCTTATATATGCGTTTCTCAATTTTTCTATAAATGTGCCCTCCATAGCAATATTTGTTGTAAAGAGTTTGGATAATAAAATTGTCAGCGCTGTTAACCCTACGCTCAACCGTCGAACTTAGGGTAACGATGGCTTGATAACAGGGAGTAATACGTGTAATTAATCTAAGATTACTATGAAATAAGTCCTATCACGATCAACCTTTAAGT